GTCTTGTGGATTCAGTGGTGGTGGAAGCATCTCAGTGCTGGCAGAGGTCTCCATGTGGCTTCTCCAGCTCTGAGGCTCTGGCTGCCATCAGCCTGTCTCCATGTGGCTTGTAAGCAAGACTGGGGAGGTGTTGAAGAGTTTTCTGCCTCCAGGGAGTTATACTGGAGTTCCCAGAATCCCCAGAAGACCATGACCACACAGAGCCCCCATTGGCTATGCCCAACCCTTCGCTCTTAATCCTCTCAAATTGTCAACAGATTGTATAACTACCATAGGTGGTCTGTATTCATCCAAGCCCACTGCTACTATGATGATGCTGATTTATGGCCAGCGCAGAAGTGGGCCTGAGGGTTTCCCAGACTAAATCTTTACAGGAATAGCCAGCCTCAATCATTCTCCTATGGAATGTCTGGTGGGTTTGAACCAGTAACTATGATTAGCAGCTCAGTGCATGACCCACTATGACCCAGGGCTCCTCATAGTGCCCTTTTATGGGAGCAGACTGTCTCATCATTTTGCTTTGGAGCAGCTGGTGGGTCTGAACTGCTGACTTTGTGGTTATCGGTCCAAATGCATAACCACTACACCACCAGAACTCCTTTTCAGTGAAGATTACAGCCATGGATGTCGTATGGGAGGTTTCTACAGGGCCGCTATGGGTTGTCTACCTTTTATAAGTAAAGGGACAGTGGGAACTCTCTTCAACAAAGTAGGGAAATGTGAGTTAAAAAAAAAATCCATTCACACATCGGACAGTGTAAGACATGAAAAAATAGTAATAGTTTATAAATTTCAAGGGCTCGTGAGGGAGAGAGAGTAGGGGAGGGAGGGGGGAAAATGAGGAGCTGATACCAAGGGCTCAAGTAGAAAGAGGGTGTATTGTGAATGATGATGGCAGACACAATGGGTGGATATATGGATTGTATGAGTTGTATGAGCTCCCAATAAAAAGATAAAAAAAAAATCCATTCACATACAATTCTGTTGTTTGATCCCATCCAGTGGGGTTATATAGTCATCAATGCTATCAGCTTCACATTCCCCACTTGTATCCCCCTCTTCCCACACCCCCAGGGAACCATTACTCCTGTTATTGTTTTTGAAGGGTTGCTTATCTTGGCTTTCATGTACCTAAAGATCTTAAATATACAAATAAACATATGCAAATCTAACACAATTAAGGAGGTAAACCAAATAAGAATATTAAGGGGAGGAAATATTAAAGAACTAGAGGATAGTTATGTGTTTCATCAGTGTCACACCACTCCCTGGATTTATCATCCCTTCTGTGTGGCCCTTCTAAAAGGGACTGTCTATGCTACAGGTTTTGGGTCTCCAATACAACCATGGCCCTTCACATTGATTTGGTTGCTTGTTTCTGAACTTCTGATACCTTTTCCTGTAGATACCTCATGATCACACAGGCTGGTGTGCTTCTTCCATGTGGGCTTTGTTGCTTCCCTGCTAGATGGCTCCTTGTTTAACTACAAGCCTTTAAGACCCCATATGCTGTATCTTTGAATAGCCAGGCACGATCTGATTTTTCACATTTGCTTATGCACCCATTTTGTTTTCAGCGATCATGTCAGGAAGGTGAGTATCATACAATGTTGCATTATTAGAACAAAGTGTTTTTTTGTTTTTTTTGAAATAAGAATCCTTCAATCCATGTATTGGAGGACAGTATGCCAGTTTCAGGCCAGGACAGGGGTGGGTGAAAACTGGGGGGCAAGGAAGTGTCCATTTGAGAGCAGTCCTGGGAAGCCTCACCTATGTCTGCACCATCTGTAGGCTTCCACGTCCCCAGGAGCCTGGGAAGTCCCATGGTCCTGCAGGCTCCACAGAGTAGTCAACTACCCAGACCTCCTTGAAGGGCTCAGAATGGGCCCTGAGCAACCATTAACAGAGGGTGTTAACCCAGACCCCAGACTGTGTATTACCTACTGACCGTGTGTTTTGATCTAAAAGGTCTATTAGAAGCTCTAAGTGGATACAGATTCACACACTCTTTCTTAAGGTACAGTTCCATTAACACTTGGTCTAGGGCCACTAGCCAGCTTCTCTGGGTCACCTGCAGCTGAGAAAGGCAGCCTCGGTGAGCTTCAAGTAGTGAAAGGTCAACATTGGACCCTGCTTCTCCCAGAGGTCCTGCTCACTCACCATCTTCTTTAACTTCGGACAC